ATTATTTTAAGGTGGGTACCAGCTGGTAATCTAGAAAGGTGAAGCAGTGATGCTTGGGATCGAAGAACTGAAATAGTACGCTCATCATCTATTCATCAAGGTTTGAAGTAACCCGGCTGAGAAGTTAACCGTGTCTTTTAATGAAGGTAGAAGTTTCAGAAACTCTTGATGCTAGCTCTTTAAGTTGGGCAGGCATCTGCACAAAGTTTATTCAGATGGTATTTCTACGCACGGAAGCCATGATCTGCAAAATAGAAAAAAGATAAATTCCCTTGGTCTTTGAAATGGTTAGTGAAATGAAGCATGAATGCCATGTTATGATGCATGATATCATGATAAACCACAGGTATAGAAAACACAAATATTGCAAACACAGTCAAATCACACAAAACCCTTAGGTTTAAGGCTTGCATGAGGTCAAAGGTAATACCCTCTTGAAGTTAAATTGGTTCAACCTGTCCTTGAAAAGTAACCGGGTTCTAGAGGATCTCAATATCATTGACCATCCTCCATCGGTCATGGTTTCAACTCACACAATCTTTTCTTGCAGCCGAAATTATTCCGAGAGTATGGTCTCAATGAGTGTAGCATCGAGTATCAACCAGTTCTCAGCTCTACACCAAGGCCGGCTATCTCACTCCTTTCTAATGGCCAATTTGGGCGTTTAAAGGTTCTAAGGTCAGCTGATGCTTAACGACACCACGCGACAGCCCCGTATTCTCCTCGTTTCTCCATAAGGGATACCGATACCAACCAAAGTGCCACATCAACGTAGCTACTACTTCAACCGTATCGGTCTACGCCGTACAGTTCCCTCATAGTCTATTTCTACTTACCTAAAAGGTATTCCCCAGATCCGGGTGTAGGATCTATAGTAACCCCAAACAAAACCCTTAAAAGTAAAGCAAACAAAGCAATCAAGAGAAGAAATTATGATTAACTAGATACTAAGGTATACCCCACTTATTTTCCCCAATAGAGTCTCTAGTTCTGTGATATGGTGGCAGAATCGATTGTTTGATGCTGGTTTGCGTTTTGTGTTTTTTTGTTCGCAAAATGTCGTGGTAAGCAAGAGTCACCACCGACTTTTATTTCATCCAATCGGAAAGGAAAAAAGTACAGAAAATTCCTTTTTCGAGATATTCTGAGTACGGGGGTAGATTATAGAAAGGGAAGGTGTTAACACCCTTTCTATCCATGGTTTTCCATGGGCTCTTAGGTACTTGCTTATCTTTTTAAATTTCTTGTATATGTGCTTTGTTTTTGAAATGTTTTACTTCGTGATAACCCTTGTATCAGTCCTCCTAGGTGTGACGAAGTTGTTTTTGAAAGTTTGTTTGAAAAGTGTAAGTATGGAAAGTTTTGATTTGAGCAAGTACCTACTAGCATCAATTTACTCGAAAAAAGATCGTTTCTATTCTTGTTTCCTTTAGACAGCGCTATCCTACTATTGAGAAATAGGTAGCACCATTGTTGGAATTTGTAAGGGTCAATTCGAAAGGGATGTACGATCACTAAAGCAATATTAGGACACCTTAGTAATAACCCTAGAGTCTTAAGATCTTCTCGAGGCAACATTCCCGAGGCAACATTTCCGAGGCAACATTTCTGAGGCAACATTCGAGTGGGACATTTGATCTTTTTAGACAGGAGGGTAACCACTAAGACACCCTATACTTAATGATCGTTTACTGAAGGCAACCGAAGTGAGAGCATACCCTAAGAGTGATATGTGCGAGTGATTGGTTTCAGTTATTTATCTTTGCACATTAGGGTTTTCTAACCGTATTAATTTGTCATGCATTCTTGTCATACAATCCTATTAGCATACATCTAAACAGTTAAATATTTGCAGGAATTAAAATGGGAGAAAATGAATCTACACTATTACAAGGCTTCGGGGAGGGGGATTAATTACATAGCCAAAAAACCAGGAATTTAAAACAGTAAATAAAACCCTAAGTTAAACTATTACAAACCAGTGAGCAGTTACTAAATATTGACAAAATAAATAACAAGCGCGCGGCGCATTAAATACGAGACAAATAGGGTTTTGAACCTCGACTAAACCTATTCACGATTGATTAAAAAAAGATGTTTTTTTATGTTTTATTATTTAAGAAAAATAATGAAACAATTAAATTAAAAGAAAATCCTATGTTCTAATTAATTTTAAATTAAGAAAAATAAATTAATCCATTCTAAAACCTATTTTTGTGTTTTATTTATTTTATTTGAGAAAGAAAGAAAAATTAAATCAATAGTTTAACCTAATTTATATTTGATTTTATTTGTGAAAACAAATTAAAATTTCCTTAATGTTAAACTAAATTAAATTAATCTTGATAATAAAAACTAATTCTAATTTTTTATGAAGTCTTGATTTTATGATTTTTTATGAAAAAAGATTAATTTGTTAATTAAAATGATTAAAAGAAAAATTGAAAGAATTAAAAATAAGAAATAAAAACAAGTTAGAGATGGGCCTGATTGCAGCAATTCTGGGGGTATGTTGTTGAAATTCTGGGCCCAACAAGGCTAAAGCCTGTTTTGACTATGCCTGATTTGGTGTGGGTGTTGACTTGAGGTACATGGTAGGCCTCCAATGATGGCACGTTGGATCTTGGCTGGAGATGTGTTTGATGGCCAGATATTGGTGGCATATGGTGGGCGCTTGAGGCTGCAGTGTACCTGGTCACGTGAAACAAAATAGTACAAACAAAGGTTGGGACCTGGGGATCGAACCCAAGTCCTCATGCTCGCTTCCAATATAACGCTACCATTTGTGCTACGCGCTCCATTTGTTCATATAATAACAATAAAGTAATGTAAGCAAAACAAAGAAATATATTCAGAAAATGCGCGAAAATTCAAACGGGCCAACCATGGACTGCCACGCCTCATCTTCTTCCTCTCTCCTTCGCTTTAGCAAATCAGACTTTTACCTACAGACGTTTGCTGTAGGTATAACCTTGTCCATCTCCAAAATTTCATATGCTCAAGATAAATGACAATGGCTGGTACCAATCTACTCGTCTCATCCTCACGAGCATCATGGTACCAGAATCAACGCCCAGTTTTGCCTGCATTGAAAACCCCGTGGGAGGCGTAGAGCACGATTCTGGGCGTTTCAAGACCTGAGAGTGATTGGAATAGCTTCCTGGGATGTCTGGGAAGGGATTGGTGCTCTTGAAATTCTTTGAAACTCCTTACAGATTGAAAACTGATTCCCACTTTTTCTTGAATTTTTCAGTTTTGTTCTTGGCTATGCACGACCTCCAACCCTCTTTTTTTGCTTTGTTTTTGTTCATTATATACCCCTCAATGAATTAGGGTTGCAAAACAGATCCAATCTTTAAGCTTTGATGAGATTTGATTTTATTCTTTAGCCATATGATATCTTTCTATTTTCATGCCAATCATGCTCTTTTTGTACCAATTACCATTGATTCGAATTGATCTTGCAAGCTCAGTATATCTTGGTTGCTAACCTGTCAAAAAACAAATCAAATCCCATCTTTGATAATTTTCATCATTTATTTGATTTAATTCACTTTTTAATTAATGAAAAATAAAAATAAATTGAAAAATGAAGCAAATAATTGGTGGATAAGTTTTTGAGTCGTGGACCACATTATGATTGAGGTGCAAGAATAAAAACTTGGGCCCATTTAGCAAGAAATGCAAATTTGAGCACATTTGACTTTTGGCAATTTTGCAAAAATGGTCAACTTGGCCAATGCATAACTCTCTCAATTTTGACCCTAGAGAGGTGTTCTTGGACTTCTTAGAAATCTTAGAATGTCCTATAAGCAACCCTTTTTGTCTCATCTCAATTGAGTCTTCCATGTGCATGTATGAAGCTTTGACCCAAAAGGTGTTTTTGTTGACTTTTCAAAATGACCTATAATGTCAAAATTCATATCTTTTTGTGAGTACATCTTATGAACTTGGGAGATTAAGATGAATTGTAGGGAATTGTGTCCTCTTCAAAATGAGCTTTGGATGGGTCATTTCTGATAAAGTATGAGAAAGTTATGCTTGGTCAAAGTTGAGTTGACTTTTCCTTTAAAACCCTAATTTAGCAACTTTTGGGTTTTGATGAATTGTGAGCAATCCTTGAGGAATCATGATCAAACCTTGTTCAAATGATGGATAATACTTCAAAATGAGTATGTTGACCAAAAATATTGAAGTTTGACTGTATGTGAGCCACAATTGACTTTTGACCTAACACAGTTAATTTTCCGGCATTTGAGCAATTGACTGAGCAAACTTCTTCTGCAAGGCTTGAAACTTGACATGAATGATCTTGAGAACCTATTAAGACAATGGTGAGAATTTGAGCCCTTTGTGGTTCACACATCTTGATGAAGATGGAAACCCTAATTTGAGATACACTGCCTTAGGAGAGAGTTTGTCTGGTCAACTCTTGAACTTCCTTGAGCAATTTGGGGACCTCACTTGCCATTTGTTGAGAAATATGGGAGGGCAAATTTTAGGTTGCAACAATAGGCTTTTAGGAACCATCTTTGTCCTGAACAAACGACAACCCTAATCGGAGAGTCATCACCTAATTCCCTTGATCTGAAACCCTGTCTTCTAAAAGAAACAAAAAAACAAGACATTTTTTGGATTTTGGTTAGAGGTCAGCAGAATATAAAACACATATATGCAAGATACACGATTCAAGGTTCTTGGTGATCTCTCAAGAAAAAACTTAAAGACAAGAAATAGTATAAGTGATAACCAAACCCTAATGCATGATCTTGTTGCATATTGATGGTATGAGATTATATAGGGATCTTAGGGGCAAAAATTGGGGTACAACACAACCCCTTCAAATTGGGCCACAAAAATTTCAGGATTCACATAGGAACCATGCAGAATTCTCATCAAGGTTGTTCGATATGCTTAAGAGTACAGGAGGAGGGATAAGATTGATATCTTTGCAGGCATCTGATTCAGCTGGTCAACCACCTTGAAATCACTCTTCTTGATCACCCTATTAGTTGTTCTACTTGCTGTTCAAAAGATGCCCCAGAAGAATCACTGACTACCCGCTTCCACTTATCTTTCACAGGAATATCTTCAATAACTTCTTCAGGAGGAGGCGGAGTAGCAGCAAAGACCTTTCCGCTTTGGGTTATTCTGCTAGTCCTAGCAATGTTCGTTACGTCCTTATTCTCAATCGAAGGACATACAACTTTCTTTCCACGAATGTAAACATTATTGTACTCCCATGGCACTTCGCTATTATCAGCTATCGGAACAGGAATTGGATTTGGAGGTGCCAGTGGTTGGGTTAGCAGAGGAGAAACCAGACTCTGATGTGGTGTAGGAAGTGATAGAAATTGTATAACCAATGGAACTCTCACATTATTCCTCTAAACATTGGACATATAGTACATAATCTCTAGAATTACAATTCGAATGTAGATGAACCTAATCAAGAAGCCTTGGGGGGGGGGGGGGTGATTCACCAAGCTTCACGCTTCACAGCAGCAACAAAATCCAGGCGAAAAGATGAGAATTAAAGGAGATGTGAGAGTAACCTATCGGAGATCGTCCGATGCAGTTTTGACGATGGCGAAGAGAAAGAGAAAACCAGAGATGAATGCTTTCCAGGTATGCTCTCCAACCTCCGCGATTTCACTCTTTCTTATATACACGAATCTAAATCATCTCCATCTATTTCTTCTGACTTCGCTCCTGTGTCGATGATCACTCGAGTGAATTCTCTTTTCTTGAAATGATTTGCAGTGGCGGATTCTTGATGCGATGATGATGATTGAAGTTTCGATGAAGATGCGAAGATGAGGAAAATGAAGTATAGAGAAGGTTGTTGCAAATATTCTTCTTATTTTCTAGTGATGGAAGATGAATATTGTAGAGGAGAAGAGTGAGTTGAATGGTGATTCCTTATAGAATTGTAGAGAGGTTGATTGGAGGAGGCGAATTGTGAGGAGGATGAAGATGATGGTGAAGGGGATCAATGTGAAGAATGGTGGTTGATTGGTGTTTGAATCCTGAAAAATGAAGGTAGATATCTGCAGTTGAAGTGTAGAAGTTGGTTAGAGGTTTAGGTGATTCTTCTGTTAAGATTGAAGAAAAATCTTGAATCAATGGTAATTTTCTATTTTATCTGTTAGTAGGTTTGTTATCAATTGAGTCAATTTGAGCCATATATTAGGAGAGTTAGTTAGATATTTGGATGGTACGGATTTAACTGATGAAAATTTGATGAGATGTAACATCTAATACTTTTTCTTCTATGACTTTATATTCTCCCTGTTTTGGACTTCACCCTTCCCTTCTATATTTTTTTGTGTTTCCTGAGGTCAATCATTTTTTTGGTATAGTCAATTAGAAGTTAGTTTTGATAGTTTGGTTGTAGAAGTGAAATTATGTTAGTTTAAAACTAGGTTAGTACTAGGTTGTTAGGAGATGAGGAAATTAGTTACAATTGGTTATGGAGTTAGAAAAGTTAGTTTTATGAAGTGAATTGTTTTCTTGGTCTGATTTTTCTGCAGAGTCCTGGGTTTCAAGTGCAAATATTGAACTGGTTTTAGTGTGGATTGGTTTAATTGATGCACTGTTTCATGTCATGGTTAACTACTTTTTTTCTGTTTCGGTGTAGCATGGGCTGTTAGTAATGGTTTTCTTTGTAGACTGATTTTATGTAATTCCTGTTGTTGTACCCCAAAATTTCCCCTCCCATTTTTATTGAAGACATTCTCCTAGGATTCTCAAATGTTTAAGGTTGCTTAAGAATTGATCAAACAAATTCTTCTAAGCAATAAACTTACAATTAGGGTTTCAATTGTATCAAGGAAGTTTGGGTTTCTAAGGCCACAAATGGATTGCATGGTTTCTTATATATCTCCAAGAATGCTGATACAAAGGCTCTTTCTTCCCAAGTCTAAGTCCACTATCTTTTAACCTAATTCTCTTCTATAAATCTTGTGCATTCAGACAAGCAAGCCACAGAAACCCTTGCACAAGATTATCTTCCAAAAATCACAAAATTATTCAAAACTAGGGCAAACTTCCAACCCTAGTTTCAGCCCACCTCAACGTAAACTACCCTTTCCAAACAACCTCTGAAGTGTTGTATGGTAAGATTGAACCGTTTCTAACGATCCAAAAGGCTGGAAACACATGAACATGCATCATCGATTTTACATCCTTGCATGAATTTTAGTTTTCATTTTCTTTAAGTTTTAAGATAAACTAACCATATTAATATGTCTATGAGGTGCCGATATGCAGGAAACACCCAACGTGGGAGTCCCATGGCGATCGAACCGTGAATTTCCATACATGCACCGATCCATGTTGTTTTATTCATACCTCATAAACCAGTGCGACTCAGTCCAAAATAATGATTCCATTGAACTCGCAGGGCTTGATTTAGTGGGGTAGGGTACCCTTGGATCCTTAACTATGTTTGCTTTGTAGGAATAAAAAAAAGAGTCACCGGAGAAGACGACCAGAGCTAGGGCTTCGGCGCTTCTCCGGTCCAGTTAATTAGTTTTGTGTTATAATTATTTTGTTTCAGTTGTAACACTGGATGTATCACCACCCAGTGGTAGAATCACGCGCGATAAAGCCTTACTATGCTAGGGCGTGGGTTCAATCCCTGGTTTTGGCAAATTTTTCATATTTTCTGATTTCTATTGATCACATGCAGCGCTCTTTATGATGTTAACCATGCACCCATTCACGCCTCATCATCAGATCTTCATAGTTCTTATCTAACGTCCCAGATGCACTCCCCCACGATACACCATCGTTGATGCCACACACTGGATCTCAGAGGCCAGCGCTTGGGCCTGGGCCTCCATTATAAATCACACCCCCTGTTTACTATAATAAGGCGAAACTCTTTCTTTTTTAATATTTTTCTATTTTTTCTTTATTTACTTGTTTTAATTATTAATTAAAATATCAAAATATTAGTTTTAGGTTAATTAATTAGGTTTAGTTTTAATCACCCTTCTTTTTAATTAATTAATTAAACTAATTAATTTTGTTAATTAAAATTGATTAGATTCTTAGGTTTTTTCCTAATTAAATTAATTGACTTTTTTTTATAAATAAATTAGGTTTTAAGTCTTTTTTAATTAATTAATCACAAATAATTTTTCATAAAAAATCACCAAAAAATATTTTCACATTCTGTTCCATTTTTATTTTCCTATATTAATTTCATAGATCAATTTTATAGGCCGCACGTTTCCTATGTAATAGCTTAGGTCTTTATTTCCCGCTTTCTTTTTCACTATCATGTAATTGTCTCAAGTATGTAATAGCTTAGGTTTATTTTCCTGCATCTATACTTATGTAACTGCCCCGAAGTGATGTAATAGGTTTAGGTTTACTTTATGCCTTTACTTTCCGCACTTTACCCTTTATTATTATTTTATGTTTACTTCTTAGTAATTAGGGTTTGCATGGAAAGATGAAAACCCGACGATAGAAAACTCTAATTCAATACTAAATAACTGAATACAACACGTTTGCACACTCGCACCTCTAGGGTAACCTCCTTTGTTGCCTTCGGAAAATAAACAATCATGTCTCTCAAATGTGGGGACGCTTTAGCAAAGTCCCTCGATATAAAGATCATAGTCCCTCGATGACCCATCGACGTTGCCTTTCGGAAATGATCTAGTCCCTTAACGAAAATTGCTAAAGCATCCTTACTAGTTGCCTTTCTGTTAACTAATGGTATGGATAGAACTATCTAAAGGAAAATGAAAAGAACGATAACGACCTTCGGTAGGGTAGAACTCCTAATCGCTTGCTCACAAAGCTCTTCAAAACAAAACATCTCTCACAATCACACTTTTCAATAAATATTTTTAAACAAACACTTTGTACGCATTCTAGAGGACAGATACGAGAATCATTACAAAGTTTTGCCTTACATTGGCAACTTTTTAAAATGTTTTCAAATACACAACACAAAGAAATTTTTAAGAAGTGAGCTAAGAGATTAAGAGCCTGTAGATAACTATGGATGAAAATGGTGCTAGCACCTTCCCTTTTCATAACCTACCCCCTGAACTCAAAAATCTCAAAGGTCTTTCCTATTCTTTTCACCCTTTCCTTATTGGATAAATGAAAAGTCGATGACGACTCTTACTATCCTCAACATTTGCAATAAAATGCAAAACCAAGTCAGTTCTCCCATCATATTACAGAACTGGAGACTCTGTTGGGGAATTTGATTCAAAAGAGGGGTTACCTTAGAGTTTAGGATCACTTTACTTGTTTTTACTTGTTTGCTTTGACTGATTTATATTGAGGGTTGTTCGGGTTTAAATTTCTTGCAAAGATCTTATAACCAGATCCAGGGATACCTTAGGTAAGTAGCAATAGATCATGGAAAATGTACGGTGTAGACCGATATGGTTGAAGTGATGGCTACATTAGTGTGAAAAATTGGTTTGTACTGGTGTTACTTGAGTCAGTCAAGGATAACACTAGGCTTCTGGGTGGTGTCATAAGCACTAGCTGACCTTTAGAACCTTAACCGACCTAACTTAGCGATCAGAAGGTAGTGAGATGGCCAGTTTTGGTGCAGTCCAAAGTTGGTTGATACTCGATGCTACACTCATTGAGACTCGACTATCGGGATATTTAGATGGCAAGTTAGTTGCTCTACTAAAACAAATCCTGTGATAAAGATCGTTGATATGAGACTTCTAGAACCCGATTACTACTCTTAGGACATGTTAATCTAACTAAACTGCAAGAGGGTACTTACCTACGAACCCCATGCAAGCCTTAAACCTAAGGGTCTTGTGTTCTTTGTTTGTGTTTGTTATCTGTTCAAACATGACATCATGACATCATACCATCTTATTTTCACTGATCATTTCAATGATATCAAAGGCCTGTGATGCAGGTTTATTATGAACTAGACATCTAGAAAGGGACAAGGGGATTTATTTTCCTCTAATAAAATGCTGTAAAAATCAATGTACTTTCGCTTGAGTCAAAGGCTAGGACCCACTCGATATGGTGAGCTTGATTCTCATAGAAGGACGTTCAAAGACACAAAGTTCTTCATTCAATGCTGCAGCTAGACTCAACTTCTAACATTTCCTTTTGCTTATCCTGTGAGATCCTTGAAAACATTGCATCCACATATCATGCATGTCATTACATAGCAGGTATTTCCCAAGATAGGTTTTCTCATCTTCTTGCTGTTTATTTCAGTAAAAGATGGCTCTTGAATAAACTGTGAAGAACCTTCTAGCTCAAAACGCTCAATTCCAAGAAACGCTCCTAAACTTATCCAATGGGCAGAAAGAATTGATGGCACTCATCGCCAAGAAGAATAAGACTAGGAAACCGGCTGGTATCATCAACATGGGAAGAAGGTTCAAAGGTCCTCCTAAACAAGCTCATAGATGTGATATTACCTCTAATGAAGATGACAATCAGGGTGAAGTAAATAAGAGTGTGAAGGATGAGAGAGGAAGTACCCTTGGGGATGGAAAAGATTATGAAGACTATTCTGATGAACAGTATCCTCCCGCTGATGAAAGATGCAAACAGCTGGAAGATCGTCTGAATGCCATGGAAATCCAGAAAGTGCACGGGCAAGATTTTGAAGAGCTGGGTCTTATCTCGGGAGTTTTTATCCCTCACAAGTTAAAGGTGCCTAATTTTGCCAAGTATGATGGTGTTTCTTGTCCTAAGCTTCATTTGTGGTCTTATGTCCGGAAGATACAACCCCATACTGCTGACAGAAAGTTATGGGTTCACTTCTTTCAAGAGAGCTTATCTGGGACACAACTTGAATGGTTCTATCAGCTGGAAGGAATCAATATACGTACTTGGGAAGACTTGGCAACTACCTTTTACAAACTACCAATACAATGCTGATCTTGCACCAACTCGTGCGCAATTACAGAGTATGACTATGGGTTCGAATGAAGGATTTAAAGAATATGCCCAGAAGTGGAGAGATCTGGATGGAAGAGTTCAACCTCCTCTATTTTATAGGGAGCTGGTTGATATGTTCATGGGAACTGTAATAGGACCTTTCTTTAATCATCTGATCGGAAGCTCTTCATCTGGTTTTACCGAGTTGATACTAACATGAGAACATGTCGAAAGTGGTATCAAAAGTGGAAAGATTCAAGTGGCTGAATCTTCAAGTAATGTAAAGAAGACGTTCAACAGTAAGAAAGAGACAAATGTTGTGTATGGCCAGAAGGGTCGTGCTAGAAGTGATCCCAACCCATATTTGGGGGCGGTGCTAATTTCTAATCCTGCGCTTGTGCAACAACAACAACAGGGTAGTCAACATAGGTCAGACGTACCCAGGAGATAGTTTACAAAGATCAACATGCAGTTTTCTCAAACATTACAACATCTATTGAAGTTAGAGCTGATAACATTAAGGGATCCTCCCCAGAATCCCAACACTTCCTCCTCCAAGTACAATCCCAATGTAAGATATTCTTATCATTCCAATAGCCCCAGGAACGATACAAATAGCTGTTGGGCTTTGAAAAATAAAATTCAAGATATGATTCACAATAAAGAGATTGAATTTGATCCTTCCGAGACCCACAATGTGATTACTGTACCCTTGCCTAAGCACGACAAAGGAATAAGTGC